GCGTAGCAATAGGGTAGCCCATTTGATGGCTAGAAAAGCCCTCTCTTTGTACCCGACTATGAGTCGTTCTTTTGATTTCCGGGCCTGGCTGGGTTCCAGGATGTAACTATCTTTTTTGATCAATACATGATTATCTTTTGTCAAATAAATAAATAAATAAATAATACAAAGCAATATAATCTCACAGACTCACACGGTGTTCCCATAAAGGATTGAACAATAGCCGATTTTCCTTCCCTTCCTATCATTCTTTTGTGTCAATTTTATAGAATCCAAAAACAACACCTTACTACAACTCTTCTTTCATGACCACCTATTCTTTCTTAATTTTTTCTACCCATTCCCACAATGATTTCCACCAAAAATAATAATCTCTCCTTATTTCTCTAGTTTTTTCCTTCATTTTCATAATAAAAATAAAATTCGTTGCATAAAAAGATCAATCCATAATGTTGTTCCCTGTAGGTCTCTTACCTTGATATCTTCACTTAATTTAAAAAGGTGTTTATTGCGATGTTACCACAAAGGTCTTCTACTAGACCATTTCCAAACTTGATCGTTGATCTTCCACTATCACATTATCCAGAATAATACAAGTTAATATAATCTCACACGGTGTTTGCACATCTAAAAATACGCGTCCCTCTAACAATGACCCATCTATGTTATAGTATGTCAAAAGCCCTCTCAACATCCTTGCGGCAAGTCTCTTTGTACTTAGCAAACAACCTCTTTTGTCGTACTTGGATTGCTAATAGTCGTTACAAATGTAGTCCACTCAAGGTGAATTCCCTCAGTCAAGTAATAATATAGATCGTACATCTTACCATTGACCTCACAACTAACCTAAAAAAATACATAATTTGAATGTTTGATCAAAAAATTGAGATACTCCAAAAGCATCGATGTCATTGTTAATCCAAGAGTTCCAAAGAAGGCATGACATATCCATGTTTCGTACCATGTTATATCTTCGAGGACTACGGCTGGTTTCTTTTTGAGTCTAGTGTATTGGCCTGCGCACGTAGTCAGACAACTCTTTCATTCCCAGTGCATGGAGTCAATTGAACCAATCATACACGACAAGCCACGTTTTGCACTATGATCAAGGACATGTCGTAGATCTTCCACTATTATAGCACACAAGTAGTGAGTACCATAAATATTGGTGATGGCCGAGTAAAAATTCTCCAAGCACTCCAATGAGCATCCATATGCAAGCATCCGGAAAGTACTAGTAAGATTTTGTTGTGTTGAGATGAGTCACGACCTTCAACATCTTTTCTTTGCATATCATATTGGACAATACTATTCATGAAAGTGTTGAATAAGATAGGGGCATCCGATATCATCTTGTAAATGACGTAGCATCTTAGGATGGATTTGGGTTGAGATAATATTGCATCAAACGCTTGTGACCATCTTCCCTGTTACGCCTAACTGGTTCTCGTAATAATGAACATTGACGAGATGATGTTTCTTGTTATCAGTGCACGAGGGTTCCGTACATCATGAACATCTCTGCATGTTCACACTCAAAGTGACACTCATACTTCCATGCATGTGTTATCATCAACTTCTCTTTACCTCTCATAAGTTTCTCTTTGCCTCACACAAGCTCTTTATCAGAGAAATCCAAGAAGAAAAATAGTTAAATTTTTGCTAGAGAAATGTAAGGTTGAATTGTTTTATTCAAGAATGAAGGCTGGATGGTGGATGACTAGAATGACCAAGGTTGAGAGTTCATTTAAAGAATCGCGAAAATATTTAGGGTTAATACCCTAGTTTGGCACGAAGTTTAGCGTTAGTGACAGTTCTGGCCCCATTTTTCAAATAAGACATTTATGGCTCACTTTTGAAATTATTGGACAAATCTGTCCCAAAATTTATGTTGACTGTTAAAACTGACGGTCAAACATTCTCACCTTTAATAACTCAGCATCGAGGGTTGAAGTGGCATCCACGTCACTTTTTAATTAAAAATAAAAAACATTAAATAAGAAATGGACAAAGACTTCTCTCTGCTCCTTTTATTCCAAAAAAAAAAGCCTAACCTACCCATCTCTTTCTCTCCTTCTTCTTCCTCTCAAAATGGCCACCGTCGCAGTGGAAGTATGCCCATCTCCCTAATTCTTTTATTCCCACTCATAGCCGACGATACCCACCAGCTTGATGATGGCAAAGGTCGGAAATGATCCTGCCTCGTCAGCTTGCCTCTGCTTCGGACAAGAAGAGCCATTGATGGTTCAAACCCAGAAAATCCGGCTGCGGTGGCGATGGATCTTGAGGCAGGGGATTTTACTCCCTACACCTGGGTCACCGGCCGTCGATCACTGCGTTGCCTGACGACGGCAGATCTGGGGCGATGAACAAGGACAACGATGCGACGAGTTAGGAGAGCGCGTCGGGAATGCGACAAAGGTCGAGCTTGATGGCGACGTCGACGGTGATTGCAACGACGGATGGGGAAATGTTGAGCTGATTCAGGGGAACGCCGACCGGAAGTTCCTTCCTCTGTTCTCTCCTTCATATGTTCCTTTCTTCCTCATTAAACGCCAACGGCTGCTTGACAGCGGCAGCAGAGCATTCTCCTTGTACGGAAATCGGAGGATGAGGAGGAAGAGCCTCGTTGCTAGTAGCTTCTCGCAAGACCAGGTTCCTAAGAAGAATGAAATGCTTGTTCTTTATAGTTATACCGCCGTCGGAGAAGAGTGAATCTAGAAGCTCCCCTGCCGGAGAGGGAAGAGCTGCTGCTGGTGGTGGAGAGTTCTTGGGCCCTTTGGATTGTCTGCAATGATTGAAGAAAGAAGAGAAGAAAATTAGGGATTTTGACCCGGGTCTTTGACTTTTTATTTTTTTATTTTTTGATTTGTTTTATTTTGCTTCTAATTTTCTTTCAGATAATTAAATAAATTATTATTTGATGATGTGGCAATCATGCATAGGCCACATAAGTAGTTTTTTCTCAGTCATTAACGGCGAGAATGTTTGACCGTTAGTTTTAACGGTCAAAATAAATTCCGGGCCAAATTTGTCAAATAATTTTAAAAGTGGGCCATAAATGTCTTATTTGAAAAATGAGGTCAGAATTGTCACTAATGCTAAACTTCGGGCCAAACTAGGGTATTAACCCAAATATTTATGATGTGGTAATATGATAAAATTGTGATGAAAAGTTGATGATCCAGTTCTGATTAAATTTGGATGAATTGTTGATCAAACAATTTATTCTAATTAAAGTTACATAAAACTATTTATTCTGACAAACATGTGAAGAATCTACGGCAATATGAAATAGATGATATTTTTTTTTTCCTGTCATTGATGTATGTTTATTGACAAGAATCTATGGCAATCTACAGGTTTAGTGTCATGGGCATCCCTTCCTCTCAAACTCAGTTGAGTGACTTCGTCCCTTACTCGTGTATAATAGTTCTATTGACACTATTCATCTAAACTTTGGCAACGGTTAAGGATATCACCTTGCAAGTTAAAGACTCGTGAATGTTGGGTGGTGATTTCAACTTATTCCTAGGGCAGGAGTTTCGTGACTGTCTCCAAGAGTGTGCTTTGGTTGACGTTTGGAATGAATGATGACATCCTTCTTAGCTTTCAAACCTTTGGAAACAATACAATAAATGAGATAAAATTAACCTTTTTTTTCTCTTTCAATTAGTTAATTTATTATTTCTTGAAATTAAGTTAAAAAAAAATTTACAAAAAAAAAATTTGTGATATACAACCATGAGCAAAAGTACAATATTTGTACCACTAACCTAATTTCTATTATGTTGCACAGAAAGCTCTATGCATCTGACTCGTTCCACGATCGGGACAACATACTGTTAGTGTTGTGGTATATGATCCATGATTGAACCTCTCCCAACAACTCGGGTTATTGGTATCAACTGGTGTTTAACATGGTATCATAGTCTTCTGTGACCGAGAGGGCGAGAGGTCTTGTGTTCGATTCCCGGTGCCCCCATTTGTTAAGCACATGATATTCTTGTCTTCAGACCTGTGCAAACTTCAAGCCCTTGTGAGAAGTGGCGGAGGGAGAGGGTAATCTGGTTCGGGGAAAAATAGTTAAATTAGGTACGATAGTTAATTGATATCGAAAATTGGGTCGCGTTTAATTGAGAATAGTTTGTCGAAAATTTTTGTGTTTGAATCTTAGCGACCTCATTTCTTAAGCATACGATATACAGATTTGTGCAAACATCAATTTCGTATAAGTTAACTTTCTTATAAGGGAGCATGGTAGTAAATGGTATAATATATTATTGAAATCTTCCAACAACTCGATTTATTGATACTAAATATTTTTTTAAAGAACATCATTCGAAAGCGAACGACTAGGTAAATCATGAATTATTGGTTTGTATAAGATTTATTTTTAAACCTCTATCAACAACTCGAGGTATTGATACTAACGGTTCTTAACAAATAACACTATTTGAAACACTAGGACTAACTAAATCAATGATTGTTTGATATATATGCAAAGTGATATTCTTGATATCTTCGACTGCTAATGCATTTTAATTTATCAAAAGTTTTCAACGTAAGACTATATTAAAAAAACTATTTTAGCAAATTTATTTTTTTCGAGGTGGACCCACATTATACGAAATCCTGGCTACGCCACTGCTTGTGAGTGGCTTTCGTTTGAGGGGGCGTGTTAGTATTGTGGTATATGATCCACAATTGAACCTCTCCCAACAACTCGAGTTATTGAGATCAACTAACTGGTTCTATATATACCTGAATTGGAATTAAATTGGGCAGCATACATGGTGGAATGAAATTAATGTAACGACTCTCTTTCTAATTTCTATATTAATTAATTATCTCCATGGAAAATGACGTCGAACCCAACGAACGCAATAATTCGATATAAGAATACCACCTTTTGCTCGCGAAATTGCAGTCTCATGAACCAGTGACCTGAATTCAACGACAGAAAAAAGAAAATTGCAGACTGATATATGATCCACAAAATGGATTATGTACATGCCATCATCGCTGTGCTGTCCACTATCTTCTGCTTCTCCTATCTAATAATAATCATCATCTCCACGACTCGCCGCAGAGAAAAGAGCAACGCTCAGAAGAACCCACCCGAGCCAAGCAACGCGTGGCCAATCATCGGCCATCTCCGCGTCCTGGCTGGACCTCAGCCTCCTCACCGAGTCCTGGGCGCCTTGGCCGACAAACTCGGCCCGGTCTTCTCCCTCCGCATCGGTTCCCACCGCATCGTGGTGGTGAGCAGCCCCGAAATCGCAAAAGATCTCTTCACCGTCAACGACGCGGCCGTCCTGTCCCGCCCGGCGCTCACCACCGCCAAGTACCTGTCCTACAACTTCGCCCTGTCCGCCGCCGGCCCGTACGGCGCTTACTGGCGCCGGATGAGGAAGATACAGATGGTGGAGCTGCTCTCCAACTCCCGCCTAGAGCTGCACAGGCACCTGAGAGAATCGGTCGTCGAGGAATCGGTCAAGGGTCTCCACCGCAAGGTGGCGGCGGCGGCTGGCGGCGGGCAGGGATTGGAGGTTGAGCTCAAGCGTTGGGTTGGGGATTTGTCTCTCGGCCTTATGCTCCGAATGATTGTAGGGAAACAGAGTAGCTCCGCCGCTGCCCGTGGCGAGTACTCCCGATTTATGGGCGCCGTGGAGGAGTTTTTCGGTTACCTGGGGATGTTCGTGGTGAGAGACGCGATCCCCTGCCTCGGGTGGATGCAGGGGCGGAGCTAGGATTCGAAGTTCGGGGGGGCCGGATTTTTTTTTATTCTACTACTTCGGAAATACGATAAAAATAAGGAAAAAAATATTTTTAATATTATTATAACTAGCATTTTAGATGATTAGAGTTACTCAAAATAAGATCAATACTACAACTTATTTTGTGTAGAGAAACTCAAAAAGGTGAATACGTATACGTCGTATCCATAAGTTTTGTTTACGACTCCATTAATTTATGTGCTTCTAAAATTAGTATTGATTTACTTTGCAGTTGAAAGTACATAAAATGCATTTCAACTTTGAGTTAGAGACAAAGACAGAATTTGACGTTTCGAAGGGGTATTTATTTTGTTACTGCGAAAAGACAATAAAATTTAGCAAAAACAATAATCAAATAAATTGTTAATATTATCAAAGCATCAATTTGAATCCATATAAAACTTAATATTGAAAATAAAAGAGTTAAGAAACCATATTGAAATTACAGAATTGAGAATCCATAAGATAAAAGTTAATGAGAGATTAAAACAAAAATTAAAATATGCTCCCTCTGGGTTTCGAACCCATAATCTAATGGATGCAATAGAAGGATTCCTACCACTAGGCTAGTTTACTTTCGTGTTGCAATAATGCACATTAAACCATTTTATACAAACACATAAGTTTATACGAAATTTTCAAATACCGATATAGTTTATACGTAAGTTCTGAAATTCTCGGGGGGGCCGGGGCCCCCCCGAGCCTATGTGTAGCTCCGCCCCTGGGTGGATGGACGTCGGCGGACATGAGAAGGAGATGAAGAGGGTGGCGAAAGAATTGGACGACCATCTTCAGGCATGGTTGGTTCAACACAAACGGAACCGAGTAGATCATCCGGCGGGTCTGATCAATTCAACTGAGACAAGGGAGCAGGATTTCATGGATGTTCTTCTCTCTGTTCTGGAGGAAGATTCCCACCACGGATATGATCGTGATACAGTCATCAAAGCGACGTCATTGGTAAATTAACCCCCTCTTAAAAAAAAAAAAAATTTACTCTTTTTCTTTCGTTTGTACGTGTTCTATATTATTCTATGGTGATCGGGTAAATCGAGTTAACTCTACATCATCTAGACATCAAATTGATCAGATTTTCGGCATATAAAATTATGCCATAATCATTGATGAGTGAACGGTAGATCTTATTTATTTAAATCATAAACTTTTAAACAGTTAAGATATTGCATAGAAGTTATTTTTGATGTATGACCGTCGATTATTATTTCCAATTAAATTGGTGTTAGTGTATGAAATTTATAGAATTAAGACATAGATTTTAATCTTTAACGGTGAGGATATATTATCATGTCCCAGACTTCGATCATTCAAGGTCTGTATATCATTTTGTCACTCAAAATATGTCACACATTTGATTTGACTTAATCGTACAGTAAAACCATCTTTATATATGAGTCAGATTGTTGTACTTCTAAACCTTAGTACAATACCTTTATTTAACCATAAATGAAACTAAATTTAAAATATGATACTATACTCTAACCTCTTGGTGATAAACCCATCATCACCGTATAGTTAAAAAAGCTTACTCTAATTAACAACAACAACAACAAAAAAAAAAAAAAAAAAAGAGTATGATTGCAGGAGGAATAGATACAACTACCGCGTCTGTGACATGGGCAATCGCTCTGCTGCTGAACCACCGCCATGTGCTGCGCAAAGCCCAGGAAGAGCTCGATCGATGCGTCTCCAGGGATAGAGCAGTGACAGAAGAAGACATTGCCAAGTTGGTCTATCTCCAAGCAATCGTTAAAGAAAGCATGAGACTGTGCCCGGTGGGACCGCTTCTGAACCCGCGAGAGTTCACCGCTGACTGCGATGTGGGCGGATACAGAGTCCCCAAAGGCACGTGGCTGATGGTGAATGCCTGGAAGATCAATATGGACGCAGATGTTTGGGCCGACCCGACGGAGTTTAGGCCGGAGAGGTTTTTGACGACCCACAAACACATTGACGTGAAGGGGCAGAACTTCGAGTTGTTTCCGTTTGGGAGCGGGAGGAGATCTTGCCCGGGGATGAATTTGGCAATCCAGATGGTGCTTTTGGTGCTGGCAAGTTTCCTGCATGTTTTCGAGATTTCGACGCCAGGAGACAAGCCGGTGGACATGAGGGAGAGCGTCGGACTCACTAACATGATAGCTGCGTCGCTTGATGTCGTAGTCAATCCACGACTGTTGCCGAACATTTAGGCAGACGAGGTACTAAGCATGTGTGTGCTTGATTCTATGTGTATTTTCAAGATTGGAGTGTTATTATTATGAATTTATGCACTTATGTAATGTCTCTTGTTCAACTACTACCCATCTCATTTGTAATGCCAACCATGCTTTCTCCTTACTAGTTTATTTCTATAGTGGTTCCATTGCATTGCCTCTGTACTCTAGAAAAGCTTAATGAACAGAGCTATTCTATTCTTCATCTGTGACTTATTTCTGTTATGCACCTCGTTTATATGGTTTTATAACACGTTATCAGCACAAATGTTTTACGTGCTCAATATCAATATCCTGTCGATCTATCCCAATTTCGAAAGTGGAACTTTTTACCATTATCTTGATGTTATATCAACTTAAGATTATGTCGATCTTAGGTCAATTTGGAAATTGATGTTTTTGTCATTATCATGAATGTTTTGTCAACTTAAAGATCAAGTGGATCCGAAATATCTCTGGAAGAAGATATTTTAGACAACTATGAAAATATAACTTTTTACCATTGCCGAGAAGATTATATCTGACCAAATTCTATCGATTTATAATTAAATCGAAACATAAAATTTCACTGGTGGACTAGTGTTAGCCATCACACAACAAATTTCATTCATTGACTTTACAGGTAATTAATTATAATTTATAACATATCTCTATTTCTCAAATACGGATTCACTAATTATTCAAATTAATATGTTCTTAAGATTTATCCATGATGGTCAAAATCGGATCATACTATGTACCTAATTCTTTTAAGTGGCTACAAATCAGGCGCCCATTCTGGGGCTAAGGATAGACCAGTAACCATTGGTTACTGACCTATGAGTAACTAAATTTGAACATTTAGATCTATGTGGGTTCAGAAAATTCAGATCTAAGAGTTCTCAATTAAAGGCATTTTATTTTCTCTAGTTTTCTTAATCGACTCTTATCTTCTTCGTTCTAACTCGGATTTCAATTTTTTTTTTTTTTGCATAGATGGAACGAGTTCGTTGTGCTCTACATACCATATGATAACTTCTTCGTTTTTAAGTCGTTTTTGAAAACGTTTGCTCAAAAGGAACGAGTTCATCATGATCTATTGGATCTGTAAATTTCTGGGTGAAAAAATTACTAGATAAAAAATTACCATACTTTACCACTATGATGAAAAATACCATACTTTACCACTGGATAAAAAATTATTTGTGGTAACTTGTAGTAAACAATGATGAAAGTCGTAAATCACAGTTAGTATACTCCTATTATCATGTATTCAACCTTCTTACCATATTGGTATGTTCATACCATCATGATACGTTTTCTTACCATATGGTATTAAATAGGAGCATACCATATGGTAATGACTGATAAAAAATTATTCAATTTTTTTTACTAGAAATATATCAAAGTGGATATCATTTTAAAGAGCACATTTAATTTGATTTATCTGTGCAAAATAATTTAAATTTCGACTTAAAAAGAGAGAGAAATCGTCCGTTAAAGATTAAAGGGGAATAGATAAAAGACTTTTCAGGAGAGAGAGGATACTGATGTCATGCTGATGTGGACAGGTTACTCATGGTTACTGACCATAGGGTTACTGACCTGATCCGTTCCCCCATTCCGGGAGCAACAAAAGGAAGGAAGCAAGATCCACCCCGCGATGTTGGCTCCACAAAAGAAAAACATATTATTGACCTCAGAGTTGGTAAAGGGGATACTAACGGAAAGCTTGATCAGTAGGGAGGATCTAAGCAAGGAAAACAAGGGAACCAAAAGGGAAAGTAGCGGAGACCAAAAAGGCAATTGGTGGAGACAAAGTAATGGTTATAACGAAGGAGTGGCGTCCTATAGGGCCCAATACTAATGAGGCTTCAACAAGCAAAGAGCCTAGGGAGTTAGGAGCTGAAAAGGACCGGGCTTCGCTTCAAAAGCACATTGTGCAAACGAAACAAGTGACAAACGGCCCAAACAAGATCAAGATACAAATTCTCGACGTGCCTGGTCTGAGTCTCAATCAGAAGGAAAATATCGACCCCAATTCTCAAACGGACTCCTCTATCAGAAATCACTACCCCAGGAAGAAGACTGAACCGGGCTTTCAAACCAAAGGTGTTAGCCTCAAGGCTAACAAGAAACCGCTACAAATCCTTAGCCCCAAGAAAAAGGAGCGCCAATCGAAGCCGAGTCCTGCATCCCTTCTTATCTCCTTGAAGGCCATTGAAAAGTTCTGCACTACAGCTCAGAAGAGGAAGGAAAACGTCCAGACTGAGCCCGATGGGAAGACGGAGGACGTTTCGATGTCGGAACCCACGCCCAGTGAAGCCATTGAAAGAAATTTGCCTGATGGAAGTTTGGAAACTTCAGAACCCATCGCCATCGAGCTTCCTAGCTCCATCTAAACCTATATTCTCCTTCCCCTCTCTCGTCTTTTTATTATTCCTTTTTATGTATCAATCTAACCTAAAAATTTTATCCTGGAACATTTGTGGTGCAGGTGGAAGAAAATTCATAAGAGCTATCAGACTGCTTAGGGATGTCATAAACCAGATTTCTTGATTATTCTTGAACCCCATATTAGCGGTGGGCGTGCTAACACTGTTTGTGGCAGGTTGGGGTTTGATGAGGTCACCTGAGTTGATGCAACTGGCAGATCAGGTGGAATTTGGCTTGCTTGGAAATCTGAAAGCTTTACAGTTACACCTTTGGATGCCAGTCAACAGCACATTACCGTCAAAATTTCCAAAGCTAATCATCCGAATTGGCTATTATCTGATATCTACGGCAGCCCTAAGTATAAATTTCACTCCCTTCTGTGGCATCAGCTCATTCAAACTAGCAAAGATTGGTGCTTCCTTGGGTGATAACCGGGGATTTAACGCATATACTCACCTGATGAAAAGCACGGGGCTAGTTCCTTGCAAGATCTCAAGAGGTGCCAGAGGTTTGCAAACTGGATGAACGAAGCTATGCTGCTGGATCTCGGGTTTTTAGGGCCGCGTTTCACTTGTTCAGAGGGGACTCGGCGACTACTCACAAAGCGAGTCGGATTGACAAGACCCTATGCAACGATGATTGGAACCTCACCTTCCCCAACACCACGGTTCAGCATCTACCGAAATTACACTCAGACCATCTCCCCATCCTTGCTAGCTACGCTGGGACTCAGACAGAGGCTGAAATTTCCAACGCTTTTCGCTTTGAGGCTACCTGGTTGCTCCATCCTTAATTCAAGGATTTTATGGCTGGGAATTGGGATAAAGAGGCAATGTTGATCAACTCCCTCAAGGATATGGCGAGCAAAATGCAGCAATGGAAGAAGGAAGTATTTGGGTCCACATACCGCAAAAAGAAACGCTTATTTGCTCGACTTTAGGGGATCACCGAAAGGCTTGATAACTCTTTCAGTCATGGGCTTTTGAAACTTCAGATAAAGCTGGAAAAGGAGCTGGACTTGATTTTGTTTTGGTTTCAAAGAGCCAACGAAAAATGGCTGAGACTTGGAGAGCAGAATACTTCTTTCTTCCATCAACAAGCTACTAGAAGGAGGAGAAGGAATAGGATTCTAGCTTTGGGTAATGGCAATGGCGACTGGATCGACAATGTGGAGTATCTCCAAACTATGGTGGTCGACTTCTACAGGCAGCTATATACTCAGGAGGAAGGGGAGTACGAAGACCTGATGCCGAGAGGCAATTTTCCTAGCCTAAATCAAGAAGAGTTAATGGGTCTGCTATGCCCGTTTCACATCTTTGACCTTCATAAAGCCATTTTTGAGATGAAGCCAATGTCTGCTTCGGGGCCAGATGGTTTTCAAGCTATATTCTACTAGAAGTTTTGGCCCCTTGTAGGAAAGAATCTCTCTACTATGGCTACTCAATTTTCGAATCAGGAAACATCCCGGATGAATTGATGGATTCAATAGTCGTGCTGATTCCCAAGGTGGATCACCCTGAAACTCCAGCTCAATTCAGGCCTATCAATCTTAATAATGTAGCTTTGAAAGCTATTACAAAGGGCTATGGCCAACAGACTGAATCCGCTAATGCCAAAACTAGTCGCACCTACTCAGAGCGGCTTCATCCGGGAAGACAGACTACTGATAACATTATCTTGCTGCAAGAAAGCTACATTCGCTTAGAAATAAGAAGGGAAGAAGGCATGTATTATTATCAAAATAGATTTGGAGAAGGCTTATGATCGTCTAACTGGAGTTTCTTAAGATATTATAGGTGAAATGGGCTCCCGCAGTACCTGGTTAGCAAGATAATGATTTGCGCGTAGAAAAACCAAATGAGAATCAATTGGAATGAGCAGCTCACTTCCATCATCAGACCTACTAGAGGAGTTCGTTAGGGAGATCCCTTGTCCTCTTTACTTTTTCGTTTTCTGCATGGAAAGGCTAGCTCATCGTATTGATCAGGCGGTGGAAGGAAAGCTTTGGAAGCCAATTCCTGTCTCTAGGGATGGACCAAAGTTCTCCCACCTTTTTTTTCGCTGATGACTTAATTTTGTTTGCAGAGGCGGAAGGTGGACAGGTGGACATTACAAGAACTTGCTTGGAGGAATTTTACTCAAGCTCATGCCAAGAGTGAATTTTCACAAATCAGTTATGTTTGTATCACCGAACGTTCATAGAGACAAGGCTAGAGGCCGAGTACGAGAGCTGGGATCAACCTAACAAACGACCTAGGGCGTTACTTAGGCATTTTAGCTATCAATGGCAGGATTACTAAAGAAAGATACCAACAGCTCATCTCTCGGATCCAAAGCAAACTGACAACTTCGAAAGCTAACCATCTCTCAGTTGCAGCTCGGATCACCCTAGTGAACTCAGTATCTTCTTCCATGGCGATATATTCTGTTTACAGAAAAATTGTCGGCTTCTATCTGTAAAAATCTTGACAGGATCAACCGCCAGTTTGTTTGGGGAGAGGAGGAGGAGAAAACTAAATTCCACCTTGTTGCTTGGGATCTCACTCTTCCTAGGGAACAAGGAGGAGTTGGAATTCGACCCACAAGACTGGTCAATCAGGTGATGCTAGCCAAAGGTGCCTGGAAGATCGCTACAGGGGATACAACTCTATGGGCTAAAGCTTTGATGAACAAATACGAAGGGAATAGACA